ATCGCGGCTTGGTAAGTCCAGGGGCCCGCTGGGTAAGATGTTTCTGCGGGTGGAAAAAGAAGGCTGGAGCTTCAGAGACCCCTCCCACCTCCGAAGTAATGACGGAACTGTTCCTGCTTTAGATTTTGTTCCGCCATCTTGGGTAGCCAAAGTGTTTGTTCCATCTGTAAAGGATACAGATTTCCACGCCACCGCCCGCCACAAGCTGGAAGGTATGGGCCATCCTGTGGCTGAGAGTGTGAATAAGGACAGCATTTGGCACGTCCAAATGTCCCGCGCTCTCAAGGCTGCCGAGCGTCACCTCGCATACCGCGAAACACAGTTGGCTCGCAGCTTGCTTTCCAAGTGTGTTGTAACTGCCGCCAAGCTCAGGGCTTGGGGGGTAGATGTACCTCTAGAGTGCCAGGTTTGCGATGAGCCAGGTACGGTGTACCACTTAATCTGGAAGTGCCCCCACGGAGCGGAGTGCAGAAACGTCCATTTGGAGGGGGTCATTGCAACTGCGGTGGAGGAGGAGGATAACCCCTTTGACAGCTGTCTCTGGCTGCTGAAGCCTGAGGGCGATCCTCCTGAAAGTGGGTGGATTGCCACGTACAGAGATGCAGAAGGCAACGGCGAGCCTTCTTTCGACCCTGCGATCCCCATTTATCTTGATGGATCGTGTCTGCCCCCGAAGTTGACTTACTCGCCAGAGCCGACATCGCCGCAGTTCAGATAGATGGGTCCAGAAACTTGTTAAGAGGCGTTTTTGCCCCTCTTCCCAACCAATTTCCCCAGCAAGCTGTCCATGCCGAGCACACTTTTTTTGCTATTGCTGCCAGACGCGTCGACATGAGCAGTGATCCCACTTTTATTGTCGACTGCCAGGCCGTGCTTAGAGGAGTAATTTGTCCCAGAGCTGCGCTGTCAGGTAAGAGTCTGCACAGCAGGTACTGGAGAGATGTAGCTCACAAGACCAATGCTGGATATCTAAACATTGCCAAGGTCAAGGCACAGGCGAGTCGAAGACGCCACGAGCGACCTTGACATAATCAGAATTCTAGGCAACCGCATGGCGGACATATTAGCGAATGAAGGAATTACAGCACACACTGCCGCTCCAAATGAAATGGACGAAGCTGCTAAAACCCTCGAGGCTTACCAGTCCAATGTAGAAGGTGCTGCCAAAGTCCTGGTCGAGTGGCCTTCCACCCGTGAGCTGTTTGGGGTCCCCCAGCGCTTTCCCAAACAGGCTAAACCGCGGCCCTTCGTGGTTAAGCATCAACCTGTTTGGCAAGGCACCCATTACCGTTGCCTTGAATGTTTGATGAGAGTCAGCCCCAGACCCAAGTTGAGCCCCGTCCTTGCACCACAGCCTCGTGAGAGGCTGGGTTGAAAATAGCAGGCTGCCAGTTGTGTATTGTACCGTATGTGGAGGATTCAGCATGGGCAGGGGCACAAAGCTGTTTACGAGTTGTCCTGCCCCCCGAATTCCCACTTCAGAGCTGAGAAAGCTCAGGAGATACGAGGCCCCAGGCACCCAACTCAAGTTTTGGAAGGCGGTCCCCCTGCACTTCTAAGAAGCGGGTTGGGCGACCGACGCGCCAGGAAGGCGAATCCCGCCGGCAGGGTTTGTGCTTGCACGACCTGCTGTGCAGAGTTCCGAGTTCCGAGGAGGAGGAGGAGGAGGAGGAGGAAGAGGGAACAAAAAGGAGGAAGAGGAGGAGGAGGAGGAGGAGGAGGAGGGAGGAGGGAGGAGGAGGAGGAGGAGGAGGAGGAGGAGGAGGAGGAGGAGGAGGAGGAGGAGGAGGGAGGGAGGGAGGGAGGGAGGGAGGGAGGGAGGGGGGAGGGAGGGAGGGAGGGAGGGAGGAGGAGGAGGAGGGAGGAGGAGGAGGAAGGAGGAGGAGGAGGGAGGAGGAGGAGGAGGAGGAGGAGGAGAAGAGGGAGGAGGAGGAGGAGGGAAGAGGAGGAGGAGGAGGAGGAGAGGCAGGAGCAGGGTCAGGAGCAGGAGCAGGAGCAGGAGGAGCAGGAGGAGGGGGAGGAGGGCCAGGGTGAGCCCAGGGACGATGCAGCACACCCTCCCGTGACGAGTCCCCCCCTCGTGGGCCCCATACGGGAAGTCCTTTCCGAGGCGAGGGGCGCCCCCCGGAATGACGAGCGCCCAGTGGGCCTGCCACTCAGGCGAGGTCCCTTTCTGTGAAGGATGCACCCTTCGTTCGTCGCCGCGCCGTTTGCTCCGGCGCGCGGCCTTGCGTCTTGGGGAGGGCGCCTCGGCCACCAGGGCAAATTCCGCCTCGGGCGCGGCGGGTTTGCCGTGGGCTTGCTGCGTGGCGGCCTCGTCTACTTGGGGTGCGGGGCGCAGGGTTTGCCGTGGTGCCGGCGTCGTTCACCTGGGCGCGTCGTGAACAAACGGCGCGTCGACATCTTTCAAGCTAGACAGAACACAAAAGAAGTAGGATGATAAGATTCACGGACGTGCCAATCGATGGCCCAGTTTTGAAAAGGATTTGCCTTCCATCGGTGTAAGCGTGACGCAATTACAGAGTCTTCTTCGTAACATGTGCGGAAGTCTTAGGCGAGGGCCGCATTCTGAAAAGGAGGGCCGTCCATCCGCGTAGTTGTTGCATAATTTGGAACTTCGGGTCACAGGATGTGAGGAAATCTCAAGCGATAGCCACATGTCGAAAGCAAATCGGCCTCATTTTTTTGCAAGCGCCGGGAACTAAGACAAGAGCCGGCTACGTTGTGAGCCGTATTCGAACCAGCCTCCATATTTCGGGTTGTCGGAAGCTTGACAGACGACAGTGCTTGGCGCAATGTTGAGAGCCGCATTTTGGAAACCTCCGTCCTTCCATCCTTGGCAACGTTCGGGAACCTTGAAAAGCAAACGTGGCATGCGCCTGGGCGAAAGCCGCATTTCGACCCCCCCGCCGTTCTTGTAGCTGCTAGTTGTTTTGAGCTTCAGGACACTGGGTGGCGAGGATGCCCCAAGCGGCGACACACCTGCCGCCCGGCCCAGCCTAAGGACACGCTTGGCGGTGCGACACGTGGGGGAGCCAATGAGAAGGGAGAAGGATAGAGGCGGAGGAGGAGAAGGCGGAGAAGGAGGCGACGAAGGAGGATGAGGAGAGGAGGAAGAGGGGCAGGAGCAGAAGCAGGGGGAGGAGCAGCAGGAGGAGGAGGAGGAACCGATCGCTTCCCCACCGCCACCCGGGGCTCGAGGCTCGAGGCCAGAGGACAGCGACCGCGCCCGAGCCACGTGGGCCGCCTCCACCCGTGGCGCCGTCTCGGCAATGGCCGCCGCGGGGGGGTCTTACGCGAGCGCTCTCGGGGGCTTCGCTCGAAGAAGAGAAAACGGTATACACATGTGGCTGGTGGCATCCCGTCCCCACAAGCGGCATTTTGCCTGCCGCGGGGGGGCTCTGCACACCGAGGTCGATGCACGTGCAAAGGCGTGCGCTCGTGGAGCCATCGAGGCACAAATTCTGGACTGGTTTTTCCGCGATTCACTCTTGACGCCGGGTCGAGTGTCGGACGGTTCCGCTTGCTCACGCTGTTCTCATTTCCCCCTTCCACAACAAAAGTTGCATACACTCCATGCCGCCCAAGTGGGGCGCTCGACAAAAGGCCTCGCCTTTCGAAACGCTCGAGAGGTTGATATCCCTTCCTCATCGGACGGCCGGTGGAAGGCTGGGGCAGCAAGAGAAGGCTTGCCCCGCCAGTGGAAGACGGCAGGCAGAGGCTAGTGGAAGTACACGATGCCCCCAAGAGATGTCAACCCGCCAAATCGCGCCGCGTCGCCGATGCATCGGTGAAGCGGCGCGATCAGGGAAATTGGTTTCTCCATCCCGACGTCGCCGATGCATCGGCCGTGCGGTGCCATCCTCCGCCCCCACCTGCTCTGGCCCAGTCTGGGCGGCCTCAGTACACATCAACGTTCGGGCTGTTCCACGGTCATCCGACGGCCTGGGCCCTACGCCGTCGCCGCCCCCGTGGGTCCAGACTCTGCTGCGCGCTCTAGGAGGAGGAGGAGGAGGAGGAGGAGGAGGAGGAGGCGGAGGAGGAGGAGGAGGAGGAGGCGGAGGAGGAGGAGGAGGAGGAGGAGGAGGAGGAGGCGGAGGAGTCCGAGCCTTCCCTGGCCGCCTCCCGTCCCCGGCCTTCCCGGCACCGTGTTATACTCGGAGGAGCTCCGCTGCGGGCGTCTCTCTGGGTCGGCGGTGGGCCCCCCCCCCCCCCTGCTCCGCACCCGCTGCCCAAAGGCATGGGGCGCGCGCCCGGGAAGGGGTGCGACGGAGGAGGGCCCGGCGTCGACCCGAGAGAGCTGCGCGGACCTCCGAGCTGTTTGAAGTCGCCCGCAGGGGCGCGAAGGCTCAATCGCGTCCCGTGCGTCGCCCAGGAAGGGGCGCATGGGGCGCGCCCGGGAAGGGGTGCGATGGAGGAGGGCCCAAATTGGCTCTGGATTCGCACTCTACCTGCAGGGAGGAAAGACTGGTCTGCTCTGCAAGAACGGTTTTTGGAAGGCAGATCTGCCCTCCAAAAGCCGTTCTTACGGCGTCGGCCCGAGAGAGCTGCGCGGACCTCCGAGCTGTGTGAAGTCGCCCGCAGGGGCGCGAAGGCTCAAGCGCGTCTCGTGCGTCGCGGCCCGGGCTGGACAGCTGCCCCTCTCCAGTGCCAAGGAGGCCTCGCGAGGCCGCGAAGACCGCGGCTCGTCGCGCATCACAGGGCTTCGACGCGCGACGTGCGGTGGCCTGGGAGTCGAGGTTTTGTTCTCAGCGTGTCGCGCCGCCACTTCTGGCCCACCACGCTTCAGTGCGACACGACATGCTGATCACGTCCTTGTCCCAGAGCGTCGACGTCCCGACTTGTTCCCAGCCTCCCGCCCGCGGAGCGGAGCGACACGCTACCTGCTCGCAGGACATGTCGTGTCGCTGGGGCCGCCAACGCGACACGCTGAGCGAAAATTCCCCACCCTACGGTCGGGCCGTTTTCTTTCTTTTTCTGCTCACGGTGCTGCTCAGGAGCGACGGCGCGGCCGTTGTGTGTGGCTCGAACAGCCACGGCCAGTGCAGCCTGCCCAGCCTGGCCGCGGGCCTGACCTATGCCCAGGCTGCAGCGGGAGGTTGCCACGCGGTCCTGCTGAGGAGCGACGGCGCGGCAGTGGCCAGCGGCGGCAACTCCTCTGGCCAGTGTAACCTGCCGGCGTTGGCTGGAGGCCCGACCTATACCCAGGTCGCAGCTGGCATGTTCCACACGGTTCTGCTCAGGAGCGACGGGGCGGCCCTTGCCTGCGGCAGCAACAGCGACGGCCAGGGCGACTTGCCGGCGCTGCTTGGAGACCTGACCTACACCCAATGCGCAGCTGGAATGTTCCACACGGTTCTGCTCACGAGCGATGGCGCGGCCGTGGCTTGCGGCAGCAATGGTGACGGCCAGTGCAATTTGCCTTTGTTGGTTGGAGGCCTGACTTATTCAAGACACTTCGCGTTCTCCGCCAGCCCCATCTAGCTCTCGCCAGATCAGCGGGAGATGGCCCCAAGACGGGACGAGGACATGCCGAAAGCAGTGAACGATAGTCCTGCAGGTGTGAATTGTACCCCTTCTTATTCTCCATGATCCTCCATCCCGTCGGCGATTGGACTCAGGTGTGCTGTGTGGCTGATCGACGGTCAGGTCTTCGTTTGTTCGTCAGGGCCCTGATGCCTCACCGTCATTGGGCTGGATCTGGATGCCCTGATGGCCCCGAAGGTTCGTCTGGGAGCCTGTCCTCCACCCTCCCAACCCGCCCCCCCTCTCTCCGGTGAGAACGTCGGGGAGGGGGAGGGCGGGGAGGTGGACAGCAAAATGTCTCACACGCCCTCGCACCCCCGACAAGCGGGTGTTGGCGGATACCCAAGTTGCAGCCGGAGGGTTGCACACGGTCCTGCTGAAGAGCGACGGTGCGGCCACGGCCTGCGGCAGGAACGATTTCGGCCAGTGCGATTTGCCGGCGCTGACTGGTGGCCTCACGTATACGCAAGCCGCAGCAGGGGTGCGCCACACGGTCCTGCTCAGGAGCGATGGCGCGGCCGTGGCCTGCGGCGCGAACGACCGAGGCCAGCGCAGCTTGCCAGCGTTGGGTGCAGGCCTGGCTTATACTCGAAGAAGAGAAACCGGCACAGACGCTCAGCTTTTCGGGCGTCCACGCAGATTTCTTGAGTCGGCGCCGGGCTCACCCGGCGGCGCCTCCAGCGCCGCCCCCTCTCGCTCTCCGCCAGGAAGGGGGGTCCAGCGAAGATCCAAGAAGTCCGCGCAGGCCTTCGAAAGTCGAAAATTTTGGGGATTCTTAACCGAGATGGGTCTTTCGAGTCCCCCCCCCCAACGGTGGAAACAGCTTATCGTTCCGACTCCCTTATTGACGGACTGGGGCCCACAAGTAGCCGAAAATACTTATTCACCCACGGCACCCGCCGCGCAACGACGAGGCGGAGGAGGAGGAGGAGGAGGAAGAGGAAGAGGAGGAGGAGGAGGAGGAAGAGGAGGAGGATGAGGAGAGGGAGAAGGAGGAGGAGGAGGGGGAGAAGGAGGAGGAGGAGGAGTACGAGGAAGAGGAGGAAGAGGAGGTACGAGTTTTATTTCCCGCCGACAGAAACAGGGGGGGACCAAAACTAAAGACCCATCTCGGTTATCTAGGTCACCCGCGGGGACGCGAAGATCACCGCGCTTCGCGCGCCGCGGCGTGGGCAGCAGAGGCGCCCCCCTCTCCCCAGCGCGGCGGCGCGAGTTCGCGAAGGCAACCGCGCGCCGCGCATCGCGGGGCGCGAGTCGCCGAGTCGGGCGACCCGGTGCTCTCGATGATCTTCAGGACGCTTCGCTGCCTCGATACGCCCGCTTTGAAACGCAACACGCACCGTGCTTAAAACATCCGTGTCATTACGTTGCGCGTTGGCTCAGCGTGTTGGCCCACATTTTGGCGAACGTGTCGCGCCATACCCACGTTCTCAGTCTACATGTGGAGCTCCGTGTCAACACGCTTCGTGATGCGTGTCGGGTATCGGGGCAGCTAAGTTCAGGACGTGAGTTGGCCCAATGTGTGTTTCCTGTCGACAGCACGCAGCCTGCGTCGGCCCGCACGGCAAGAACTGCGTCGCAGAGAAGGGCCTCGGTGGGCAAGCACACGAGGCGTTCCAGAAAGGGCCTCGCCTGCGGAGGTCGAAGGAGTTGGCATCTCTTCCCCCGCGGAATGCCGGCGAAAGGCGGCGGAAGCAAAACGAGGCCCCCTCCTCTGGCGGAAGCTGGCGGAAGTGAAACATGTACCCCCAAGAGATGGCAACGGGTGCCACGAACTGTTCCGTGCGTTTCTTGTCCCTGTGTGCCAGTCCGCTCGTGCTAGGCTGCGCTCCGGGCGTGTATGTTTATGAAGCGCGATGGGTCTGTGGTCTCCAGCACCACGGCCGTGTCTTGGCGCCCTGGGTCCAACTCACAACACCAACCTTTGTATATGAAAGGTGCAGTTCTGCTGCTCAAGCTACGCCTCACCTTGCTACTGTGTTTCGCTGCCTTCTCTCGCTCCTCCTCTTGCTCTCCTCCCCCTCTACCCGTTCCGCTCCTCCCGCTGGGTTGCCGCTGTGTGCTTATTATCAGAATGAGGGGGCCGAACGGTCATTCATTGTCCCTGAGTGCGTGGCTCTAGTGGGGATCCGTGGTGAGGATTCTGCTTGTTGCGGTGTTGTTGTTGTTGTTGTTGTTGTTGTTGTTGTTGTTGTTGTTGTTGTTGTTGTTGTTGTGGTTGGTTGTGGTTGTGGTGTGGTTGTTGTTGTTGTTGTTGTTGTTGTTGTTGTTGTTGGTGGTGGTGGTGGTGGTGTTGTTGTTGAACATTATTAATTCTAAAGAATAATTATTGTTGGGACCCCTGGTGCACGGCCCCCCTGCGCCGCCTAGGCCGCAGCTACATTTTCATCATTTTCGTGAGGAAGCCTCAGGTAATACGATGTCATCAAGATCCGGTTGTTTTGTTGTAATCCGTTTTCCCTTGCAAAAAACACTATAAAATGACATTTCTTGTTCTAATATAATCAAATTTCAAGAATCCCTTGCAAAAAATAAGGTAAAGTGGACATTCGCGCGCGCAAGACGAAATCCTTCCAAAAGCTTAGTGTTCGGAGCGATTTTAACATAAAAACATCAAAAAACCAATGGTTTTTCAAAAAAAAATGTCAAAATCTCATCCCGCGCGCTCTTGCGGATTCGTAGGAAACCCAACACTTTTTAAACATTTCTGTCAAACGGGCTTTTGCGAGCAACTTTTTCGAACTTCTGCGACAACGGTTGCGCACCTGCCAGGGCCATCATCCCTGTCAAATAATACCATGCGGGACACATTCGTTTTTTCTTCGCGCGCGCACGCCGAAATCTCCAAAAACCATTGGGTTTTTAAGAATTTTAGCACCGCGCATCATAAAATCACACGAATCGCACCGTAGGTCCTCGAAAAACACCTGCACGACTTTTCAAAATTTCCACCCGCGCGCGCTGTCCGAATCCTAAAAAAACCAATGGTTTTCCAACATTTATGTTACATGAGCTCGCGCGAGCTACTTTCGCACGCTCTTGCAACGGGGTTCGCGCGCCTGCCAGGGGCCAGAATCCCTTGCGGTTGCGCCATATGTTGCGCCCTCGGCCGCCGAGAATAAAACGCCCCCCTATTGGTTGCGTCATAGGTTGCGCCCTCGGCCGCCGAGAATAAAACGTCCCCCTACTGGTTGCGCCATAGGTTGCCCCAGGAGGCCTTCAAGAGGCCCCAAGAGCCCGCCGTGAGGACCCAATAAGCCCCCAAGAGGCCCCAAGATGCTTCCAAGAAGCCCCCCAAAGCCCCTCAAGAGGACCCCAAGCGGCGCCAGGAGGCTTCCCCCCTTCCCCAAGAGGACCCCAAGCGGCCCCAGGAAGCCTCCGACTGATCACTGGCACATCCGTAGCCATCTCGGATCAAGGTATCGCCTGTGTTCTTGGATGGTCCATGGCTTTGACGGCGAAAGCCCTTGACGAGCAGTATGGCCCGGAGCTGTCGCGGCCTCCCTTGGCCGACTGCGAGAGCCCGTATTATTTGCATCAGGCGCTCGTTGCAAAGGGTATCCAGGTCAGTCACCAGGCGTGCAAGACTTGGTGGGGCAAGTATCGGGTTGTGCCTGGCAAGGTTAGTATTTCTAGCGCCCAGGAGCTGGAGGAGCAGCACGGTTCTGCCATCCGCCACCTGGGCATCGAGTATAATACACCTTTCAAATTATGCGGGGCGCTCCGACAGTTGGATCCACCACTGTATGTGACAGATCAGGTCGCAAAGATGTGGCTACTGCAGTATTCTTCCAAAGAGACGCTTGTCAAAGTGCAGAACGCTGGCCATCTGGAGACCTGGTATGGAGAACGTATTCGCACAGACATGCCCGAGGGGACTACTGACGGGGCCGTCTTGAAGCAGTGGCTCCTGGGACATTTATCTGTATCTGCTGACGCCAGGGTATGCCAGAAGTGGCTCAGCACGGAGTGGGGCGCCAAGGGAGCATTGAATACTGCCCAAGCTGTGGAGGAATGTATAGGCCAGCGTCTTCGACTCAATCAGTATCGGGAGAGCTTCGCCGACGAGGCCGCCGCGGAGGTCCTCTCGCAGATTCTCTCGGAGAGCGACCCTCCCGTCGCTGTCAGCGGTATGGTTTTGAGGCAATGGTACGTGAAGTATCACCCTGACTCCGGACCTTTGCAGTATGACACGGCTGAAAAGCTCGACGCGGCACTTGGTGACCACATGCGCGCGGTATATCCAGGGCTGAAGTACCACACCTTGCATGCCGTGTTGCGTATGCGACGGAAAGCTGTCTTGGTGTCCCGAGGAGTGTTGAGACAGTGGTGCGATGCGTATGCGTCGGTGAGCTCTTCAGTGCAGGCGGCGGCTTCATCCGCCCAGGCCGTCACCAGGCGTGTATTGAAGCGCCCGGCGGCGCAGGTCGCAGGCGGGGTATTGAAACGGCCAGCCGCCGCCGGATCTGCCCGCGTGGCCAAACGGCCTGCCGCGGTCGACTGGGAGGAGCCCGTATCGAAGCAGCAGGCCACGGCAGCTTCTTCCTCCACAGATGTGGTTTGTATAAAGCTGCTGACGGGGGATGCTGTAGAGGCGGCATGCGGCAAGCGGTATCGAGAGCAGGTCTCCGACTTGGGCCTTGGCCTCACTTACCAGAATATGCAGGTGCGTCTGAAGGCCTGGGGGTATGAGGCGGGTCCATATGCCTTGCGAGAGTGGCTCGGCAAGTATCGACTCGGAGACGGTGCCAAACATGGCAATTGCGCCGTCTACGCGTTGTCGCGCAGGGACCTCCAGTACTGGCATCACGTAGAAGGCTTGAGGGGGCGAGCGCTGGTGGACAAGTATCGCGCGGAGACCGGGGTATTTCGTAGACGAATGAGCCAGTATTGCACATTGAGGCCGGAACGACAACCACAGAACAAGAATGAGCATATATCGTCTCACAACAACGGAAACAAGTCCTGTGGTATGCTGGCGCCACGCACGTGGTACCACTCAAAATAAGTGTCTTTGCTTGTGTGGTACAGAAACGGAAAAACGTCGGAAAACGGTGCACGTGTCCATTGTTGGAACAGGGGTATAAGTCGTATACTAAGCTAGCTTCCACAAAATGTTACCACGACAAGTCATTGTAACCATGCGCCAGTGTAGTAGCCAAGGTCGTCCGCAGGCCACGAAGTGAAGTGTCCGAACGTCATAGGGCGGGAAGCTGGGTGTGGGTGGTGGCGAAGAGTCGTTTGGAAACTTGGTAGAGCTTGAACCGGCCCCCCCACAAAGTGGGGGCATTGCCCGCCCCCTATGAAAACCCTGGCACTGGTGAGAACGGAGTGTCCCCAGTCTTAAATGATTGTTGTTGTTGTTGTTGTTGTTGTTGTTGTTGTTGTTGAATGTTAATAACCAAGCAATTATTATTCTCGGACACCTTAAAGGCGCTCTGGCGCTCTCGCCGAGGCGCCGGCTACATCTTCATCGACAAGGAGGCTCACGCTCGAGCGGCTTGGGGGACCGCCAAAACCGGCCCCCCAACAACAACGCTCCCGCTCGAGACTTCCTCCTTTTTTAACTCAGGGCTGGGG